GAGACCCGCTGGCGGCTTCCCAGAGGGTTCCTAGCGGGTTGCTCGGCGGGCACCATCCGGATCGCATCCCTTTGTGTTTGCTTATTTAGGTATTTTTGGCACGGCTCTCGCTCCTGCAGCCGCGGCGCACGGCGCTGCCCCGCAGGCGACCCCCAAAGGATGCGCGGATGCGGAAGGGGCACGGAAGACGCTCTCCGCTCTGCCCCCTGCCCTGTCCCGATGGGGAGCTCGCGTCCGCCCCTGTCCCGGCTGAGCCACATGCCGGGGGTAGCTCCGAATCCTGCCTGCTGGAGACAGGTCCTTTGAGTGCTCTAACCTTTGCGGGGCCGAGAACCTGCGCCGCCCCTTGTCGTAGCCGGGGTCGGCAGCGATGGGCTCTGTCCCCCTCTAGGCTCGGATTGCCGGGAGTTCAGATGTGTAATGAATCTGTCGAGGCTGTGTATCCATAAATGAAGCTATGACAGGGCACCCAATCTACTTCAATAGTGTGAGGACTTTGTACAGCAGGCGAGCTCAAACAAAACACTTTGCAAAATAAGGGCAGTGGTACAGCTATTGCTTTCGCTGCGGCGGAAGGGAACAGAGGATTGGGCACATGTTGCAGTCTAGAAGGTAGATCTCTTTTAGAAATTGACTTTGGCTGTTTTAGAAGGGGTTTCAGAGCAAAAATCACAAGAATGCTGTCGGACTGAGCCTGGAAGTGAAAATGAGCGGACATCAGGAACAGTAAAAGCCTTTGCGGAAACCCTATCAGATCCATCACCATACCTGTAAGGCGATGAGGATACTTCACTTTCTCTGAACAATAGGAGAGAAATTTGCTCTGAGATCCAGGGCTACTTCTAGGCTAGGCATGTGGGATGCAATTATTTCCTCTTTCATCAGCCACTGGAACTACCATTTTGTTGAAACCATATCCTTTGGGTGTAATGATGCCTTTTCTGGTGAGCTCTTTGCTTTGAAAAGGGGGAGGTGAAGGTGGATAAAATGTCTTCCAGGGCATTCGGTTGATTTTCAGCTGGAAGGAGAGAGCCGTCGTGTCAGCTATGGCAAGGAGGGAGGGCTTGACAGGTTTTGGTTTTTTTTTTCCTTGCTGCTGAGCACGTCTTCGTGTCTTAATAAAACGTGCTATAAACTCCGCTTTTGGTGGCAAACATGACACCGAGGGGAGAAAAAATAACCCAATACATAAGCTGTTGAACGGGCCGGGATGTTGCATGGGGTGACATGACAGTGTCCCATAAAGAAGCCACTACCTCTTCCAGTTAGAAGAAAGCAGAGTCCCACTCAGATAGTCCTTCCTCTCAGGGATCTTCCGTTGTTCCAGTTTCTATTTCCGGCCCCTAAGTTTGCTGGAGAAACAGGGCTGAGGTAAAGCATCCCTTTATATTTCTGTCCATGACGTTTCCAGGCACCGAAGCTTAAAAGCATCTGCAGCCGTGCTGACTTCATGTAACCCCCCTCCACAACAGGTCACATCAAATATTGACCTCAGGCAGGATTGAAACAGAAATATTTTCTACCAAGATCACAGAGCATTCGGATACCGCTTAATTAATGAATATGTAAGAAATTAAAAATCACAGCAGTACCACAGATGCAAATCACAGCGGAAGCTCTGGGTATTAAGTGAAGTGTCTTTTGGAAAGATGAAGTCGCGGACAATACCCGGATCAGAGATCTGGAAGCAAACCCCATCCTTTTCCTCTTTATTCTGGAGGAAAAGAAGGGTGGCAGCTGGGCAGCTCCAAAGAGAGCCGAGAAGACCCCTTTTTCCCGGGGGGAGAAGGTCACTATGACATTAGAGGGATGCGGGCGGCGGGAGCTGGCCCTGACCGAGGGAGCAACGAAAGGTGTCTGCACCCCTTTGTGAGGCGGCAGGGACGCTTCTTGAGTGCCCATCCGAGCTGAGGGCGCAAGGGACTACGGGCGTGGGGGACCTCGGCCCATTCTGGGAAGGCCGGAGTACACCGCGCCCTCTTGGGACTCCCAGGGATGCTGCGGCGGGGAACGTGGGAGCCGCTCTCACTCGCCGCCCCTACGGCGAAGTTCGCCTTGGCTTTCCGGCGTTTGCAGTAAAGGCCAACGAAATCGCGCTGCCCTTGCCGTCCCCGGAGCTGTCCGGCCGGGGTGAGGCCCGCCCGGATCGGCCCTGTCCCCCCGGCCCTCGGCGGGCAGGTCAGCCTCGAAGGCGGGCAGCACATGGAGCTCCGGGAGCCGGGCGAGGCCGCCACAGGAAACTCGTGCGATTTACGGCCGGAGCGGCCCGGGGCTGTCTGGCGCCGTCCCGCCGCCGGGACTGTAAGCTCCCCGGCCCCTCCACGAGCCCCTGCCGCTGTGCTGCCGCCACCGCCTTGCCTGCCCTGCCGTCGGCCAGACACCGCTCATTCTGTGACCCGTTGCCTTCTTTCCCTCGGCACTGGACCTGCAGCTCGGCTAGACACAAGAAACGCACGGTTCTGCCCGGAAAGGACCCGGGCTGTTGCCCGCCTGGCGCCCCTTTCCGGATTCCCACGTGCCCTTCTGCCGGATTCACCCCAGGCTTGGGGTAAAAAATGAACCGCGGCTGGGAATAGATAGATAATGGAGCGGGGGCGGGGGGGAGAACGGGGGAGGGGGGATTGGAAAGCAAATAGTTTATTAGTGCCTGCCCGACTATAGTGTCGGCAACTATTTCAGTGTAATTCTGCCCCATTTTGTCCAAAATACAGCTGTTTGTGGAAAAAGGAGCGACAGATGCCCATATTGAAGTGCCTATATTAGACGTTACCGACAATACCTCTCTTCCAGTGTGACATTTTATTGAAGGGAATGTTTTCGTCTTCAATCAACAAAATAAGTGTGGTTCTCGCTGCCCCGGCTGACATACGTATATAAACCATTTGGATAGAATTTACAAGGTTATTCTCATCATCATCGTCATAATTGTCATCCTCGTCCTCCTAATCATCATTCATCGTCAGTAATTTTTCGACATAATAACCGGCCCGTGGTTTTAGAATAAAAATTTACTCCTCGGAAAGAAACTGCATGGTTTGGTTTCTTTATACGACTTTTCTTCCCCTACAGAACACATCTGTGGATAAAGTCAGTTTCGACCTGAAAACTGGAAATTGGCAAACCGTCTTCGTTTCAGGTGGAGTGGGTCAAACTTTGCCAGCACAAGTCCGAAGCCTTCCAGTGCCAACATTTACTCTGCATTTTTACAGCTCTCTCTCCCCCTCCTTTTTCCCCCCGGGCAAATCTTTAAAAGCAGACGCACATTTAAAATACCTATCCGAAGCAGAACAAATTCTAGAAATAAAACATTCAAAGTGGCTACTCGTTCTCCTGGTTTCACGTTCAGCAGAGTTGCCCCAGCCACATGTCTAGCAGGGGAAAGGGCACTGCAGGAGATATACATCTCTAACTCTTTCGCTATATATAGACTTACATGCACACTTACAGAAGTGTAAATACGTCCATTTTAGAATCTAAAATAATTATAAATATGACGGTTCTGGGGTGTAAATAATCGTTGAAAGGCTTAAGCGTCCGTCGCTTGTGAATCGAGATCAGCGTTTCTCGGAGGGACATTGACTGCCTCAACGTCTGTGCTGAACTTGCAGATTAAAGTGGTTAAAGCAACCAAACCCCGCGAAGATTTTTATCGCATATTTAGCGGCATACAACGTTTTTGCACCAATTCTGCAATTCTCATTCCATCTGAAGGAATATTTCGTTGTGCCACTGAGACAGCTGCACCCATCTTCTGGGACTGGTTAAGCGGAGGAGGTGTTACCAGGGTGTTTGGTAGAGCTCTTAGCCAAGACATCTTCTTCAGTCATTAGGCAATTAACCTAACTGACGAACATTTACAGACCAAGGACACTTCGGAGTCTGCTTCTTGCTCATTTCAGCTGCATTTCGGTCTAAGTGTCTTTGGTTACCGTTTCTTTTTCGGGGTTCGTTTTCAGCCCCCAGCCCCGGTATCCACAGCGCACGCATTTTACCATCGCTCTAAGCACTTCCGAAATAAAGGACAGACACCCAACAACGCAGAGGAAGAGCGACTGTCTCCTGCACGCCTGGAGCGGGAAGGATCGAGCATCTCTTTGCCGCGGGGCGCGGCGGTGCCAAGGGGCAGGAGTCACTCGGCTCAGGGAAAAGGCGGGGGAAAGGCAACTAACCTGCCGGGAAACGTCTCGTCAGACTTGCATTTTCTCGGAAAATCTTTCCTTCGGAGAGAAGAAGAGGCAAGAGCGGAGACGAAAGCTCTTCCTGCATGGGTGGCGAGAAGTGTGGGGAGCCGGCAGCCGCCGGCAGTCGCCCCCCGCTCGCTCCCTGCAGCGGCTGTTCCACACTAGGCTTTTCTAACTTCCCTGCTCTCACGCGAAACCCAATCTCGCCAGGAAGCTACGAGTGTGCATGTCTTTATTTCTCACTCAGTAAGGCTATGACTACATATACGTCCCTTTTTTCTTGACTTTGCTCCTGAAATCGAAGCCTAATTTTTCACATCGGGGGGTCGACAACAGGCAAACCCCCGCCGAGTCTGGAGGGAAGGCGGAACCCTTCGGTGGAACCGGGACAGCCAGCCACAATATAGCGATTAACCCAGAGTGGAGCTGGGAGCTGCCAGCTCGTTCAGTCTCTCCCCAGGGCGAGCTAAGGGTGCCACGGCAGACGCAGGGAGCTCTCAGCCCACGGAGCGCTGTGAGGGAGTTAAAAATGCCCCATGGAGCACGAAAGGAGCTCTTGCAGGGCGAGGCTTGCAGGAGAGGGCTCAGCTAGGGAGCACGAATTCATTGCAGCCCGGGCTAGATCAGTGTCTTTCCATTGTCATCCTCCCACTGAAAAAAAAAAAAAGGAAAAAAAAAAGGAGAGGGAGAGAAAAAAAGTAGGCGGATTGCAGTGACTGACTGCCCAATGGCAGCCCCGGGTCTCAGGAGAGTTACAGAGAGAGAGAGAGGGGGAGAGAGAGAGAGGCACTTTCTGCCATCCAAATCCCTTAAACCATCCTCATTCCAACACGAGAACCCACTGTAACAACTTCCAACCACTGAGACATGACAGGCAGGAACCCAGAGGCAGCAGCAGCAACGAGAGCAGCAGCAGCAGCAGCACACACTCTGCACAGGGAGCAGCATTAGCACCAGGGGAATACTACACACAACAATACAAACAAACAAACAAACAAACAGACAAAGCCCCCCCAAGCCCAAGGGACTGGATTCCAACTCAGATTCAAGCCACAACTGACACCAAAAAGGGTGGGGAATTACGAGCAGGGGGGGCCAGAAAGGAATAACCAAGGAAGCGAACTCAAGAGTGTAAACGGGATTCAGCCATGATCCTTTTTTCATCTCGCAGTGTGTTACTCTCAGTGTATTACCCTCAGATTTTCCTCATCCTTACCAGTGGGAGTTACCTGTAAGTGATCCAGATTTTTTTTTTTTCGAAATACTGTTTGCAATGCCCCCGCTAGCAGCTACCTAGGGGCAACGCGCAGAGCGAGCAGAGGGAGCCGGGAGAAGCCAGCACGGGCGGCAGCTCCGTGCGGTGCGTGGTGGTGAGGATGGTGGTGGTGGCGGAGGAGGAGGAGGAGATGCTGTGCTGGTGGCGGTGCTGGCGCTGCTGGTCGGACCCCACCGGGGGAAGGGACGCACCGCCAGGTAACTCCCGGGGCTGCCCCGCCGGCGAGGCCGGGGCCCGGCGTGCCCGCAGCGGGGGCGGCGCACCTGGGAGGGCGGCGGGGCAACGGGACGCGGAGCGGCCGGCGTCTCCCCTGGGATTCCGACCCCGACTCCTCCTCCTGCCAAACCGGAGATGGGCATCGCTTCGCGCCCATCGGGGGAAGACTGTTTGCTTGCGGAGATCCCGGGGAGCGCGGGGTTGCCGCAGGCGGCGGCCAGTGCCCAGCCCGGGCCGCCCGGGGAGAGCCCCCGCCGCCGAGGCGCTCGCCGGCCCGCTGCTTTCGCTCCGGAGGGATCTCCTATCCCGCAGTTAGAGCTGGCTCCAGGATCTTTTCCTTGTGAGGAAGGGGGTGGAGGTAAGGGTGGGGGAAATGAGAGTCGGTGGGTGGGACTGCGAGGAATTTCGGTCTCTTTTTTAAATATCTATATCTGTATCTATCGTTGCGGTGGATAAGAAGCGGCTGGGCTAGTCCTTGAGGGCTGCGGAGAGAGTGTCCGCCGTCGTTCTCCTGCGGGTCCCCCAGCAGGTCTCTGTGCCCGCCGGCCTCCGCGTTAGGGTGGTGGGGGAAGTGGGTCGGGGTCCCCGCGCCGGCCGGAGGGGAGCCGGGCCCATCCGGGACTGCAGCCGGAGTCCGGAGGGGCTGCCGGGGAGCTCTCAAGGGCTCCTGTTCTCCTGCACTCCGGAGGACACCTGAGCGCGCCGCGGGGCAGCCGTGCGGGGAGGAGGGCGCTGGGGCAGCAGGTACCCGGCGGAGGGGCCGCTTTAAAATCGGGGAGCCTTCTCCCTCCCTTGAGCATCCCTCCAGCCCCGGGGCAAGAGTCTCCGTGCGGGAACGCGGGGATTGGGCCCGGGGGAGCTCTGGATCTGTTCGAAGCCTGCCCAGGCTGCCGGGGCTGCGGCAGAGGGGTTCACCCCTGTCGGTGCTGGGGAACCCCGCCTCGGTATCCCCGGCCCCGCATTTATCTCGGCTGCCGGAGCCGGACGGCGGACGGATTTTTCTATTCTCCCACCCCCATGCCGATCTGGTTTTTGTGCCCCGACGGATGCGAATTTGAGGTCCTGTCCCTGAATTATACATGGATTTATACATATTTGGGTTTTTTTCTCTCTATGCGCACACAGCAGGACATGCACATGAACAAGCACGTGTGCGGGTGCTCCCCTGTGTGTGTGTCCTTCTGTTTTCTGTGGGCTATGGAAAAAACAAATCCCACTTCTATGGGAGAAAAGTAGGAATAAACACACCCATTAAAAAACCCCAAAACTAAAAGTCTATTTCTACATTCTTAATTCTTAGTGAAATGTATATGTCTTGGCCACCGATTTTTAAAAATCTCTTAGATTTCTGGAAGCACTTTTGATTAATTCAGCCAGAGCTGCCTGTTTCTGTTCACAGGAGGGATATGTCTGCTGTGTAGGTGACCAATAGCTTGTAAAAAAGCTTGCCGTGCTATCTTTGGTTGGTTGGGGGTTTTTTGTGTTTTCTTTTTCTTTTGTGGTTTTTTTTTTTTTTTGTGGTTTTTTTTTTTTTTTGTGGTTTTTTTTTTTTTTTGTGGTTTTTTTTTTTTTTTGTGGTTTTTTTTTTTTTTTGTGGTTTTTTTTTTTTTTTGTGGTTTTTTTTTTTTTTTGTGGTTTTTTTTTTTTTTTGTGGTTTTTTTTTTTTTTTGTGGTTTTTTTTTTTTTTTATGCAGGAGGAAGGAGTCGTAATAAATAAATAAATACACCCTTTTAATATAAGTGTAGCCATATTTTTCTCAAAACCGTAGGAAATTACTATCCTACAAAGTTTTCCTTCTATAAATAGTTCAAATCTTAAAACAAAAGTTTGCAACCGCACACCAGATGCTGGGATGCTGGCGGTTTCCCTTGCTGTGTGACATAATTATAAGGTCCGAAAGCAAAAGCTATAGAAGTATAATAATAATACTAAGGCGAATGCTGAGGGGAAATACAAGGGAAGCAATGCCTGCTTTATTTAAAGCCAACTGCTTGGGATCTTTTGAGCGCTGCCCCGCGACAATGAGAAGTTGTGGTGGATAAATAATGCTCTCTCGCCTTTCCCTGGGCCGTACCCAGTTCATCCCCTCCGCGGCAGGTCACTCGGAGCTGGACCCGCGGAGCCGGGGCCGAGGTGGCTATTGCAGCCCAGCAGAGCAGAAGCGAAAGGGATCAGGAGGTGAAAACCAACAAAGCGGAGCCCCAAAGCGACGCGTACCTCCCTCCATCCATCCATCACTCCGGAGGGACGGAGCCGGCTGCTTCCCGGGGAGAAAGCAGCGCACACGGGGCCGCCGGGGACAGGGTGCCCGTGACCCAACCCCCGCCCCCACTTCTCCTCCGGACCCCGGCCCCAGCCCCCAGTTACACTTGCTCCATCTCCGCTGTGTCCCCCCTCATCCCTCCCAGAGAGCGAGAGCTGCGGCGGGAGAGCCGGGTGGGATGCGGTGCTTCGCCTCTCTCCGTAGGAAGTGAAAAGAAGGAGTTATTTCAGTGCTTAATGAAGAGTAGCCTATTGAACTTGTGGTGTTTGTCTGGTGGGTAAATATACTTCTCTGGGTTACTAATGGTAGCTTTTGAACATTAAACCATAGTAGAGCCTGTTGGAGCATTATCTGCTGGTGTCTGTTTCTGCTTCCCTTGCTCTCTGGAGGAGAGGATGCTACCCAAGCTGCTATTCAGTGAGCTCTCAGGGACCGTCAATGGTTATGTTAATTTTCCCCGAGATCTCTATCATCTTTCGGCTATGGGAATGACTCCTTGGCTTGTGCATTCCTGCTTCTTCAGGGACAGAAGGGGTGACTTTCAGAGGGCAAGCAAATGGAGTACAGGGTGTCCATGCTCAGTATCTCTTGGTGTGGGGAATACAGGCCGAGGGAGATGGGATGCTGCCCTGTTATTCTGTGAGAAAACCTGTCAAGCAAAAATCCCATCGTGATGAAATGGGGTTTTCAGAATGGAAAAGGCAATGATGAAATGAAATGAAATGATGAAATGAAATGAAATGGGCACCACACCTCAGTGTTTTTTGTGCAATAGCTGGGAAGAAAGTTAAATTATAGTCAACAACATCCAAAATTAATTTAAAACCCGACTCCTTTATGAAATTGATTCCTATATTGTAAGTGTGCTATCTGAAAGTCATCTTCTTCAGTGTGCTTGCCTAGTAACCTTCGGCCTGCTGAGGCACTGTGAACATTTTTACAACCAGAAGAAATTAATGTCTGACTCTGAAAAAGAAAACTAACTGTGGCTTCAATAGCTGATGCATTTTAATGCTGGACATATTTTAGTAATCCAATTAAATATTTAAAGTATAGAGCTGCCATTAAATAATATCACTGTAATTAGTATAAATGTCTTAACACCAGGAATTATACAGAACACTGGCACTGTTTTTTTGCAGTGCATATGGAAGTGTGCACGTGTCTGTACACATACATGTATTTAGCTGCTTCTAAAGAAGATGGTGCTTGTTGGTTTTCCATTGGTGCACCCCTTTCACTGTTCATCTTATTTAGGGCTGGATGCATTCACCAACAACATGAGAGTCAGTTCTGGAAAAGCTTATTTTGGGGATTATCTGATGGCACATAGATACAGTTAATTCAGTTATTTGCTATAAAGTGTTTTGGAATAACTCTTAAAAGAATATGCGTGTATGTAATAACAGCAGCACAAATCTTCAGATACATTTTCTAGCACCATAACACAACAAATCGTTTATATTGGTGAGTAGATATCACTGCTTGGTTAGGAAGTGTAGAGGAAGAAAAATCCTCTGCCTGTTTTGCATTTGTTCTCCTGGCGCTTCCACATCCTTACAATTCTGTATCCTTAACAGCAGGGCTCCTCAACACTTGTGGGAAGCAGATTAGAAGGAGTGCAGATTGTTCATATGCCTACAGGAAAGTGGTCATGCCTAATCCCTAAAGATTAGGACTGCTGGAGAGAGCTCCTGGAGTTTGACTCCTAATCCCTGTCAGTGCTGGAGGGAGCTGCACAGGCAGAGAACAGCCCGGCTGCTCTATGAGGCAGAGCCTTCAAGGGGACAGTGGGCACAGCTTCACCAGCAATGCCAACCAGTGTGACTGATGCTCTCACTTTAGCTGGTACAGTCAGAGTTACACAGGCTCACCCACTCTTCTCATTCTGGTTTGATCAGGGCAGGATCAACATCTGTGATTAAGCTGGCTGTTATGGGAATGTGATTGTCTCTGGCTCAGTCACTGTGCTGCAGTGTAAATCTATCATTTCCCTGCTTTTGCACCTTTTTCATTTTATAACTGAGACTTTAGGGCAAGCTTTCTCTCTCAACCTCTAGTTATGCAATGTATAATGCCCAAGGAGAGCTCTGTTGAGATCCTTAGATTCTCCTTTTAAGTGGTATTGTAATAATGATTCTCTATAAGAGGATTTGTTATAGGACTTCCTTCCACTTTACCATCCCTCGAATATATGTTCATTTATAGAGAGAACAGGTGAGTCTTCAAAGAGTATCAAGTATTTTCAGGCCCATCTAAAGCTAATGCTTTTGCTCAGCAGAAAAGAGAAAGATAAAGAATATTTTTATGCTGGACTGCCATAAGCTTGGCTACCTGCCCGACACAGGATATTTCCATGTGTTGAAGCAGCTACACAAAGATGGGAGAATGATTGTGAAATGATTTCTTGGTAGCTCTAGAAGGTGAAGTCCAGCATTCCACTGTGAGACCCAGAATAAAATTTTCTTCTAAAAC